ATTACTGGTGTGGTTTCTGTCTCCTGGCTGGACTCTGATTGATACAGTATAACCTTCTGGCAGTTTTCTAGGAGTTTGCAGTTGCTAGCAATTACTAATCCATTTTCATGGATTGAGATGATTCAAAATGAGGCTTCAGTCCCTGAGATGGCTTCTCTCTACTTTCAATTCCTACTTACTCCAAGGGGGTAAATCCCTTTTTGTTAGGGAGATTTATCAGTCTTCCACCTTGATGGGCTTTGAACACCAATATTGTCCCTCTAGCTCCATTAGGCTGTCAAATGCTGCTCAGCTTCCAGCCTTTTCAGTAATTGACAAACCCTCAGAAAAGAAGCAACCCCAAATGCCGATTTATCCCTTGGGTGTCTGTCTCTTCCTGGATCTTGCCTCCATAATTTTTCCAGAATGCCGAGTCAGTAGAACACATATTTTATCCAGCTTTTTATGTTGTCCTCAGCTGGTTACTATTACCTGGTTTGCTATCACAAGAAGTGGAACTTCCTTTATAAATCTTTTAATCTCATATCTGTTGACTTAGTCCTTTTTTGTCCTAATGTTGTATATTTTTAGTTTCTCTCATTTCTTTAATCAGGACATGCCAGGTGCATTTGAATTTTTTTTATTTCAAAGAACCAGCTTTCAGTTTTATTTACCCTTTCTTGTCTTTGTTTCCTTTTTATCAATTTAATCTCTTACCTTTTGAGATTTCCTACTTTTATTTTCTATTTATTTTGCTTTGCTGTTCCTTGTGTTTTTCAAAAAGAGCTTTGCTGATATGTAACTGACATACAGTACAATAAATTGCACGTATATTAAGTATAAAATTTGGTCAGTTTGTACATGTGTATACACCTTTGAAACCATCACTGCAATTAAAATAATAAACACATCCATCACCCCCATAGTTTCTTTGCTCCTTGGTAATCCTTCCTTCCTGCCCCTCATCCCATCCAGGTAACCACTCATCTATATTCTGCCCCTGTAGTTTAGTTTTCATTTTATAGAGTTTTATATGAATGGAGTCAAACAGTATATACACTTTTTTGGTCTGGCTTCTTTCCCTCAGCATAATGGATATTTATCAATGGCGTAGTGGGTATCAATAGTTCATTTCTTTTTATTGCTAAGTAGTATTCCATTATATAAAGATGCCACAGATTGTCTCCACTTACTTGTTAATGGACATGTGTTGGTTCTAGTTTTTGGCTTTATTGCAAATAAAGCTGCAGTGAACATATGTGGACAGTCTTTTAATAGACCTAAACTTTCATTTCCTTGGATGAAATACAATAAGGAAATACAACATGGGTAGAGTGGCTGGATCATACAGTAGGTATGTGTTTAATTTTTCTAAGGAGCTGCCAAACTTTCCGAAAATAACTGTACTATTTTATATCCCCACTGGCAATATCAGTTACCTGTCTTACCAAAATTAACATATAAATCAGTGTTAATTCTAATTCAGATCCTTAGAAGGTTTTGGGGAGATCTAGGTAAAATAATTGTAAAGTTAAATAGAATAGTAACTGAGAATTGCAAGAAAAATTTTGAACAAGAATAGTTATGGCAGACTTAGATGATAGAAGCTTCTATAAAGCTATTGTAATCAAAATAATGTAGCATTGACATAGGATTAAACACATACATCACTGAATCAGATCAAAGACTCCAGAAACTAATGCAAGGGTATATGGGAACTTAATATAATAAAGAGACCATTTCAGTTCAGAGATGAATTAAATAGTTTTATTTAATAATGCTACCAGTATTATTTGCCCATTTGGAAGAAAAAAGTTGAATCCTGTTTTGTATCATATACCAAGAAAGACAGACAAAACATCTACATGTAAAAATAATACAATAAGCATACTAGAAGAAACTTTAGGATAATATATGCACAGTCTTCAAATTAGGGTAACCCTTTTAAGAAAATCAGAAAATACAGATGCCATGAAGCAAATAAATGGATAGATTTTACATCAGAAAAGAATGACTGCTTAATGGCAAAAGGCACTGTATGCAAAGTTAAAAGGCAAAAATATTTTTGGGTTTCCTGCAGCCTGGTCCTTCTGCCCCACAGAAGCCACATTTTAAAAAAAAAGAAAAAAAAGGAAAAATAAT